AGAACATATGTCAATTGTGGCAAGACATGCGCCAAGATCTACTTGTGGTGTACGTCGGACTGTACGTCGGGCTGTAAGTCGAGACATGAGTCGGAACATATCTCAGTTGTGGCAAGACATGTGTCAGGATCTACGTGTGGTGTACGTCGTGCTTTACGTCGAGACATGAGTCGGAACATATGTCAATTGTGGCAAGACATGTGTCAAGATCTACGTGTGGTGTACGTCGGGCTGTACGTCGAGACATGAGTCGGAACCTATGTCAATTGTGGCAAGATATGTGTCAAGATCTACGTGTGGTGTACGTCGTGCTTTACGTCGAGACATGAGTCGGAACATATGTCAATTGTGGCAAGACATATGTCAAGATCTACGTGTGGTGTACGTCGGGCTGTACGTCGGGCTGTACGTCGAGACATGAGTCGGAACCTATGTCAATTGTGGCAAGACATGTGTCAAGATTTACGTGTGGTGTACGTCGGGCTGTATGTCGAGACATGAGTCGGAACCTATGTCAATTGTGGCAAGACATGTGTCAAGATCTACGTTAACACGTACCGACCAGCGCTCACATGAGCACTTATGAAATGAATGGCATAAACACGATTATTCACTTACGTCTTCAAACATGACTTCTCCAGGGTTCTTACCCATTCTTGCTGTCAACGATCGACCATTCACCGTCACAGTAAATCCAACAACACGGGCATTTTTCTCTGAAGAGGTAAAAACAAACAGATTTTAAAAACTATGTATATAAAACAATTTAACAAATTAACAATGATTGACATTTTTGGTTATAGATTACAAATATATATTTGATATTATTACTTTTAGGTTACTGCATAGGCGTTGCAAAGTATAGACGAACACTGTACAGAAGTAATGACCGTCGTGTAGTGGAGTGAATACTTTGTAGTATGAACGAACACTGTACAGAAGTTATGACCGTCGTGTAGTAGAGTGAATACTTTGTAGTATGCACGAATACTGTACAGAAGTAATGACCGTCGTGTAGTGGAGTGAATACTTTGTTGTGTGCACACAATACTGTACAGAAGTAATGACCGTCGTGTAGTGGAGTGAATACTTTGTAGTATGCACGAATACTGTACAGAAGTAATGACCGTCGTGTAGTGGAGTGAATACTTTGTAGTATACACGAATACTGTACAGAAGTAATGTCCGTCGTGTAGTGGAGTGAATACTTTGTAGTATGCACGAATACTGTACGGAAGTAATAACCGTCGTGCAGTGGAGTGAATACTTTGTAGTATGCACGAATACTGTACGGAAGTAATGACCGTCGTGTAGTGGAGTGAATACTTTGTAGTATGAACGAACACTGTACAGAAGTAATGACCGTCGTGTAGTGGAGTGAATACTTTGTAGTATACACGAATACTGTACAGAAGTAATGACCGTCGTGTAGTGGAGTGAATACTTTGTATTATGCACACATACTGTACAGAAGTTAATGACCGTCGTGTAGTGGAGTGAATACTTTGTAGTAT